TTTGTCCTCTTGTTCCCTACGTACACTTCATAGGGACAGTTCTCCAGTAAATAGACTTGGTTGTCTATTAAGTCTTAGTCTGAAGCTCTGCGTCAATCAGTATACGTTCTCAAACTGCTATCAGACATAGCGGCTCAGTTTGCAAACTCTAGTATCAGTATAGGACTATAGCGTGTATAAGTCCCAGTACCAGTTAACAGTTAAACTCCTGATCCTCAGTCGCTAGGTCCCTTAACATTAGGACAACAAAACTCTCCTAGGACCACTAGTGCCTAGTCGCAAGAAAACCACAGTGGCTACAGCAGTAGGACAACCAGTAGTAACCAGGTCCCAAGCAAGGCAACTCCTTTGCTTCAATAAAGTCCACACCTACAACAAGAACAAAAGAACTGATCAGTGGAATAATAGTTCTTCTTGGCAGTATTGTGCCAACTCACTTTGTCCAAATAGGAAAAGAGATAAAACCATCTCTACACTCACAGCAATCTTAGCTCCTATTGGCAGTAAAGAAGATTGACACTCAGTAGTACCCCCACTAGCAGAGAAGTCCTCTCCTGTACCATCATACCTTACCCCTACTGCAGCGTTGATAGGCCTGCATAGTGCATGGGCGCGCCTCGAGTCGAACTCTGCATTCGAAGCACTTGAACCCTCCGACTTCGGGAACACCTGCGATATCCCGATGTGAAATTGCCTTCGAGCAAAGCCTGCTCTTCAACATCTGCAAAGCTTTGAAGATCTCACTACAATCCAATTGGGATCTCTCGGCGGCCGCTTTATTCCGGGGGCTTGACTTCGAGGACGAAACCCCATTATCTGGAGATTGAGACATACAATACAGGGCTGTTGGGTAAACCTTTAGGTCGGTGCGCTCGGGTTGTGACGCCAAGACTTGCAATGGTCGGGCCTCCGAGACTAGCAGGAATAGCGCGTTGGATGGGAATCGGAAACTGATGGAGACATCAGGTGGGAGTAGGAAGGATATCAGGATCGTTTGGCACGGTCAGGGCAGTGGAGGCGGTGACTCAGGAGGTTCGGCAGGATGAGGGATATTTAAGAATGGTTTTGCATGGTTGTAATGCAGTACTTGGCCCCTAGTAGCAAGACTCGCGCAGAATCACATCCCCCACTCAGCAGAGCTCAGTGTCACAGAATTCCATGGCATCTATCTTATCTCCAGCATCTAGATGATCTATATCTTATCCGA